TCCCCTGCCCATCGAAGTATTGCTCAGGCGTTTCTTGCCCCAAGCGGGGCAGGGGATAAAAGGTGGCAGTGGCACCTGCCACTGGCAACTGCCACCGGCATTGGCATTTGCCACTACGCGTTCTGGCAAGCGATAAAACATGGCAACTACCAAAAATTAAAATTCCGCGAGAGACGATTCTGTCAAACAACGACAAGTTCCATGTATAGGGGAAATCTTGTATTATCCCAGATCGACTCTATAGAATTTATCCATGGAGCCCGTAGCCGGAGTCGTGCCCGCGCTTTTCAGTGCAACAAGCGCTGCTCAGCAAGCGCAGCTGTCACAGAATACATAACACCCAGAATCCAGAATTTGTACACCCAGAATCAGTTCCGCTCATGACCGAAACACGGTAGTGCGACACTGCGACAGTATTATAAAAGCGTCCATTCAGATAAGAGCAGCCAATTCGGCAAACCTTGGATGACACATGACATATCCTGAAGGTCTATTGAATAATTGACTATTCTTTGAGCTGTAGTCTGTAGGTAAACGCAGTCTAAAACAAGCATGTTTGACGACGATGCTATATTTGTCATAAAACCAAACGAAAAGTTAACAAAGTCATTGTCTATCGTTCAAATTTTTGATTCGGTGCTGTACTTAAACTGATACGGATGCCTAAGGCTACTCGACTACAGCGTTCGTTCAACACGAACGCTGTAGTCGGGTGTGCAAATCTCTGTAAATAGTGAAGACATGCTGAAAATCATTCGAGAGCGCAATCAGAGCCGCTGCCGCAGTGGACGCATTGCAAGCCGGAGCGCCTTTGTTAACTGATGAATGGGGCACTTGTGGCCGCATTGGCGTACAAAGCGCCGTCTGAGATTGTTCAAAGGCTTTATTTCCGATCCAGATTGTGGTGGCAGAACAACGACGGGGGAAAGGCCAGCGCGGATGATTCTGGCAGACAAGCTGCTCGTCTGCTTATAATTGTTTATGTGCAACAGGTACTAGTCCGTACTACAGATGTATTCCGTGACAGTGACTACGTCTGATGATTTCGATAGGTTGACTACAGAAACATATTTTTTTATTCTGGCTGAGTTCAATTTTTTTATCAGTTTTGGATCAGAGGACCAACACTCGACATTCAGTTGGCTCGGCATCCCTCGTATTTGGATTGTTTTTCATAATTTCGGTTTGTTGTGCCTGACTTGGTCCACGCGCGGACACACGACTCTGGCTGAAGTTTTCATGGATAAGTTCTATGGAGACGATCTGGGAAAATGCAAAGATTCTCCCTCTAGACCTTATCCTTGGATGGCAGAATCGTCTCTAGCTAATTCTGAATTTTTGGCAGCTGCCATGTTTTATCGCTTGCCAGAACGCGTAGTGGCAAATGCCACTGCCGGTGGCAGTTGCCAGTGGCAGGTGCCACTGCCACCTTTTATCCCCTGCCCCCAAGCGGTAGATGTGGTTGCTCATCTCCTGTGTAGCGTTAACCTGCTTGCGTTTCGCAAATCGGTCGCTAAATCTGTCCAGCCATTCATTGACGGGCCAACTTTCTTCACGCTCGAGAGTCGAATGGTTCTCGTACCACTCCAGGACGGAGCCGGAAAATGCTGCTTCCGGTTTAGTCATGTTGGCTTTATCCAGTTGGCCGTTCTGCACGTAAAACCGTCGGATAGATTTACCCATCAATCTACGTCAGCCCAGTCGTTACACTTAAAACGGTACCCGGTGGTCACAGGCAATCAGCTGGGGGATACTCGCTACGATGCCGGGAACGGCACAGCCGGGAGCTGGCACAGCCGGGAGCTGGCACAGCCGGGAGCTGGCACAGCCGGGAGCTGGCACAGCCGGGAGCTGGCACAGCCGGGAGCTGGCACAGCCGGGAGCTGGCACAGCCGGGAGCTGGCACAGCCGGGAGCTTGCACAGCCGGGAGCTGGCACAGCCGGGAGCTGGCACAGCCGGGAGCTGGCACAGCCGGGAGCTGGCACAGCCGGGAGCTGGCACAGCCGGGAGCTGGCACAGCCGGGAGCTGGCACAGCCGGGAGCTGGCACAGCCGGGAGCTGGCACAGCCGGGAGCTGGCACAGCCGGGAGCTGGCACAGCCGGGAGCTGGCACAGCCGGGAGTGTGTGTTCTGTCAGAGTGTAAATTCGCAGCCGATCGTTTCTGCCGAAATGTAAATTCGTATCCAGCCGTTTCTGCGGGATCGTAATTTATTTACGGCGGTCGTTTCGGCGGCCCCCGGTTGTTTCGGGCGGCTTAGAGGCTGAAACGACCAGTCGTTTTGGGCGGTTAAAGTCGACCGCTCAACCACGTTTTGCTACCGGAGGACTTACAATAGAGGTACCCGGTCAGCGAACCCTGGGTAATCTAGCTAGCCGGACTTACCCGTAGCGACTCGGTGGAATAGCCCTATGGGCCCGAGTTGTCCGTTACAAATCTGAGTCAGCTACCCAATTAGGTGTATCCGGAAGGGAAGCTCGAGGGCTTTGTCCGGATAAACATAGGAAAGTGGATTCAGCAGACCGCTTTACCACACTCGAATGGGGCAAATGGAGCCACCCGGATCGATCTCCCCGGAGTTACCCGAATCAACAATTAGCGGCCTAACAACCCCTGTTTCCTAATACACATTGAATTGGCGACGTGACATGAATTGGCGGTTTCGGTCGGGACGGATATCCAGGTTTGAGCAAATCCGACAGCTACGATCAGCTGCCGTTAGGTGACCGGACTTACCCGGGTAAAACCCAAATGCACCGGACGAACTGGTTTTTCAAACTTTTGAACAGATCTGTCAAACATTTGCGCTACTTCGATGTCCAGTCAGGGGGTCGGAGATGAAAATACGGGTTTTTCTCGGACAAAAATCCCGGAAAAACGGATGGCTTCTTGACTCATTTCGCTTATTCACTGTCTGCTACCACAACCCAGGACTAACCCGGACAGGTTCCGCCCGGGCGGAACCTCAGAAAACAGGTACTTTATCCGAAAGAATCAACCACGAATCGGATTATCGGAACATCGCGTTGGGGAGTATTTCCTATATTAATAACCGGGGTAACCTAGTAGGGTAACCTAATGAACCCGGCAATAACCGGTCCCAGCAGCCAAAGCAGACGGGACGCGAAATTGCGCATTTTTTCCGGAGAATTTCGCCGGACCGGGTGATGTAACCAGACTCACCGGTCTACCCAGGTGACCTAATAGTCCCCATTCCCCACTCAGAGAGAGTGACAGAAAAATAGGCTGGGGATGGGAGCACGCGTGTAACCGTCCAAAACGACCAGTCGTCTGAGGCGACCGCCGGTCGTTACAGCCTCTAAACCGTCCGAAACGACCAGGGGCCGCCAAAACGACCGCCCCAAATTTTGCCCTACCAGTTTTTTCGCTCTATCGGTCGTAAATAAAACAAATGAATGTAAATTTGTATACTATAGTTTCAGCCGGAACGTAATTTCGTGTCAGGTCGTTTCTGCCTGATTGAAATTTCGTGCCCGGTCGTTTCTGTCGGAGTCTAATTAGTGCAGAATTCAAATTCGACCGACTGATTAATTCGACCGGATACAAAATTACGCTGCGGCAGAAACGACCGGGCACGAAATTACACTCCGGCAGAAACGACCGGACACGAAATTACACTTGGGCAGAAACGACCGGGCACGAAATTACACACCGGCGGAAACGACCGTATACAAATTTACATTCATTTGTTTTGTTTACGACCGATAGAGCAAAATTTACGGCGGTCGTTTTGGCGGCCCTCGGTCGTTTCGGACGGTTTAGAGGCTGAAACGACCGGCGGTCGTCTCAGACGACTGTTCGTTTTGGACGGTTACACACGCGATAGTTTACTTAAAAATTGTAAAGTATTTGGCAATTGCTTAATTGCACAGTTTTTGTTACGCCAAAGCATTGCCATGGTGCCGAATCACTCGTATTTTAGTTGTTGGTGGCCGAACGACAATTTCCCATTCCTCCCACTTTCTCCCACTTCCCCACGAAGGCACTGAAATAAGCGACAACGTGCTAGATGACCGTAATTCATACTGCGGCAAACTAGCCACGAGGTATTTTGCCGACCATACTGCGGCAAAATACAAAAACGCTTATGTAACGCATAGTGGGGCAAAATAGCAGAAGGCTATTTGAACTTAGTGTGGGGCAAAATAGCAAAAGGCTATTTTGCCACACTGCAGAATACTGGGGTAAAATAGCCATAGCCCAAAATTACGACACTGCTGATACATTTAATATGGAATGTATCAGCAGTGTCGTAATTTTGACATGTGATGACACCGATGCAATACAAGAATTCACTGTACAGGCTTAACTGTCTAACGATTTACCATGTCATCCCTGTTTGTGAAAAAGACAGTTGGCATCAGCTTGTGTTATAGCTACCATTTACCACTTTACAAGCAATCATTCTAACGAAGCATAATCATTATATTAATTATTAGCGCTCTGCTTTTTTTAAAAATAAACAGTCTTTTGACTTTGGTGAAAGTATTGATCCTAATTTAGCGTCGAAGGTGATTCCACCTTTCTTTGCCAGTCATGTGGGCCGTGCATGTCGGAAAAGCATCCGCGCTCTTTGATGGCAGCGGGCGCTTCGCGTGGTGTTAACCGCCTTCTTCGAATTATTCACACTGCATGGAAAGCTAATAAATAATATTGAACCGCGATAAAACTGAATTTCATGTGGACTATAAAATACGCGTACTGCCGTACAGTACTGTACTAAGAGGTTATGCTCTGTAAACAATCCGAGGAAGGGTGCCGGCGACAACTATATAAGTCTTCCTACAATTCGCACGGCTTTCTACACTCGACAACAAAACGTATACGGATAACGTATCTTATGAGTACCCTGGTCATATTTTCTGATATGTGTTGCTCCAGATTTTATCAAGGTGAAAGGCCGAGGTGAGTGAAAGCAGAACTCTTTCCTGGCTGAACGCTCCAATTTTGTAATTATAAAACCGACAGGGTACAATTATAGTACGCTGTACTAGTAACAGTTGGTGAACTGCCAGTTGGTAACTCGCTTAGTATGTTTTTTTTATTCGGCAAACGCTGTGAGTGAGTGTTGTTTATCAGACTTTTATGAAAATTCAGTCATGAGGCGCTCACTGTGGTTTATTTTTGTTATATCTTGTATGTTTCGTTTTACATCCGGTGAAACAGGTAAGTCAATAATGAAGGTTCACGCAGTTAATTAAATAATAGAGCTTATAATATGTGTACTTGTGATACCCATTGTAGCGGTCAGATGCGTTACCGAGCGGCAATACGCTGTACAAATATTCAGGGAGATTCAGAAACATTTCACACTGCAATACATAATGTGAAACAATTAAAAATTCTTTGTCATGTTACATTTTAGTATGTTCTAAAAAGTTCCCACAAGTCCATAATGTCAGCTGATGTGCTTATATGTTACGTTAAGAATTAAATTGCTTGAATACAATTCAACTGAAGAACGAGTTAAAATAATTATTACAATTTTAAAAAATGGCAAATGGTTAAGCATTTACGACGATAAAAGCGGCTGCATCAGAAAATAATTCGTTACTTTATACTTTGCATAACGAGATTAACGAAACCACGAAAAACTAGTGTTGGTTAATATAAGCTCGCGAATGTCGAGATGAAATTTTTGGATTACATGATACCAAAAATGTCTGATATGAAACTTCATTACTGACCGTGTAAAAGCTGTAGACTGGGTTTTAAACTGTAGAGTCAATTGTGTGCGGCATCATATGAGCGGAGGAACACAAGGTTTCCCGTAATGTATAAAGGGAAAACTAAAGGTCCCCTCCAAAGTACTTTAGACTGCCGTTATCACCATTGTCGGAAGTGCATCTGAACAAAAATATTCTTGATTGATCTCTAAGTGTTACTACGTGCGCAGAAATCGAACATAGCAGTTTATAGCGATGTAGCTATATGTATTTAGTGGGTAGCTATATGTACATGTATCGTATTCGTATGCGTTGAGTGGTTATTAAATAAAATTTTATAGTTAATACATGCAGCAAATACATGATACATTAACACCCGGTTTCCCCACTGGGTCTCCAATCTTTTAAAATAAATTTTTTGGTGTTTGCGGCTCACCTTGGGTTCAGGAAAGGTAAAATTCAGAACAAGTTAAAGTATGGTGCAAACTGCTTATTCAGGTAGCGCACTGTGGAGCAGCTGCTGTCTGCTGAGAAGTTTTCGTGCGAAACCGCTTGATTATTATAACTTGCTCTTAACATGTCGGCAGCCGCGAGCATCCAAAAGTTATGCTTACAGCTCTAAAATTTACATTCTCATCTAAATGACATTACATTCTCATCAAATGTGAATTAACAAGAACCTGATTTATTTCTTGTTAAGAGAAATGGTTCATGGAGTATCTAAAAATACTTGCAATTAGATTGTTTACTCTAATGGTAGTCGCGCTGGGTGAGTACAAGGTTTGTTGCTCTTCAGCTACGCTGTTATGGTTAGCTTTAAAGCACTACATGAAGAGTCTATAAATAATTCGCACAATAGTAACCTAATCGCGCTGCTACGCAGGTTCCGGCACGGAGCTCGAACAAGACTGCAGTGTGTTGACCCAAGACGATGGGGGAATTACCAAAGTGCCAACCGTCCCCGTTTTTTTTCCTTTCCTCACAGATTTATTGACGAAGGAAGAATGTATTACTTTTGCCACCCTCGGTGAAGAAAAGGCGTGCTCACTTGAGTGGAAAATTGAGGCTTGCAATGTTGCCAAAGACGATTATTACTACAAATATCATGCCATGTCCAGAACTTATCTGAAATTCGAGTGTCAAGGGGCAAATCGTTCAGACATGCTGGAATTAACGCGTAATATCAGCAGCATTAGTCCCAATCGTGCTGTGACAATCCTACTATCAGAAAAAGGCGGCGCAAGCCACCCGGTACATTCAGACGTCATCGAACCCATTCGACAACAAATCGTTGAGCTGGCCGTCCTCTCGAATACGTCAGCCACAACCTACAAGGTCTTCGAAGCCGGTATCTTGCCAAGATTGCTCCGTTTCGAAGTGCAATATGGCAATAATTTGGATGTGAAAAAGAGAGATTTTTCCCGCATGCCGGAAGTACGGATGATATGCTTCAAGTCCTCCATCATCGACACACTGGAGCGTTACACGTTTATGGATTTGCCGGCTCTGGAAAGTTTGGTGCTGGAGAAGGAGATCAGTTTTGCGTTGTACCGTAAAGAAAAGTACGCACAACGTAACCGAGGTCGACCCTATGAGTATGGACTGATCAGCAGCGAGGATATTCAGAAAGTGCGACGTCTGCATTGTGACTGTTCGTTTGCCTGGCTCCGGAATTTTCTGAAGCGAAGGCCGCATCTCGTTTCCCATAAAGGGGAGGGTGAAGTATTTGTTGTTGGCAACTTCTATTCACCTTTTGTTTTCACCCAGGAAAGTGCAAGTCCAGAGATGCTCAGTGTGGACTGCGCGCGAGAGTTGACCTACAACAATAGTAACGGTGACTTGCATTTCGCATACAATACGTCCTGTTACAATTTATCCTGCCGCTGACAGCCTGACCTTTCCTCGTTAAGCAATACGACAAAATTTAATTTCACTCTGGCGCAAAGTAATAATAGACGTTCCCTAATTGAAGTTCACGGTTTGGTCTTCAAGGGGAAAACAATTTTTTTTTGGAAAAACAGCCCTACCGGTCTTCCAGCGTTCACTGAACTTCAAGAACATCGCTTACAGTTAATGTACAATTAAATGTGGCATTTAATTATGGTTAATTTTCTTGAGCGGAAGTGATTCTTTTGTATTCTACTGGCGCTCTTTGCTTAGCAACAGTCCTGTTGTGGGTTGTACTCCAGAAACGTGCATACAGATAGTTAAGTTATTCAAAGTCTCAGAACAGTTGTGGCTGCATCCTGAATTTATGTAGTTCTGGTTTGCATGGTTTTTTTTGCACAAGTTCCAGCTATATATTTCTGCTTATACCAAGATATTTCACATTTAACTGGTCGATATTTATCTCTATATTTCACATTTAATATATATATATATTTCATATATATAATATAATATATACAGTATATATTTCACATTTAACTGGACGCGGGCGACCACGTGGCACCGGTCGCGGGATTACGCGAAGCAAGCGGATTGCAGGAAGACGTGTGGGTGTTACTCAAGGTGTCACAAAAAAGAAACCAACGGTGGAAGAAGAACTTGCTCAGCTAAAAAGCAAATTTCGGACCTATCGGCGTCGGTAGCGACCGTCGTCCCTGCTGTTGACGATAGCGTTCGATCCTTCTCACCAGGAACTCGCAAGATTCGAATCCAGGATGCCGGCAAAGTCAATGCACCGCAGCTCCACCTATGGGACATGCCTCCTGTTTCCGATCCAGGTAAAGATTTCAATACAGATGGCATTACTGAGATCGAATTCATTGGTACTAGTAGTGCTACAGCCGTAACCCGGAAAGCTGCAGCAGTACTTGAGGCTTTACCGCAGAACGTTAAGAGTCTCTTGCTACCAGTTGAAAACACTCTGCTGCCAAAGCTGTTCAGCAAAAAGGAATTCGTCCATCTTCCCGATCTACTACTGCTCAGCTGTGCTCCTCAAGTGCCGTCTACATAAAAAAATCCAGCCGGTAAAAGTGTGCAGATTCGAGACTCCATTCAGTGGATGAGAGCGTTTTCAGTGCTGAAAATGTATCGGTGTGCCATATACCCTGAGCTGGACTTACCCATGATGAAGTACGTAAACCACATCGCGCAGATAGCGGTACTGAAAGGAATCACTACTGACCAGTGGCTTGCCTACGACCGGCAGTTCCGGTTAGCTGTGTGCCGTAATCCGAACGATGCAATGCAGTGGTCACGCAGAAACGATGATGTTTATACTGAGTATTTAATGCAACCACTTGGGCATGACGCTGGTCAACGCACATGCGATGTAGTGAAAAATACTGTGGTTCAGTGCTATAATTGTTTAGAATTCGGACACATCAGACCTGAATGTCCGGCATTGCACAACAGCGCCAGCAACCGTCGTTCTTCATGGGTTGGGCAGTCGTTTCTCAGCCTCCCCGCTGGTAGCGGGGGAGCAAAAGTTGACGAAGTGTGCCACCTCTGGAATAAAGGTCACTGCACTACCGGCTTGTTCTGCCGATCCGGTCGTCAATACCGGTGCGCAAAGTGTGGTCAACGTGAACACCGCGATTTCCAGTGCAAATCAAAAGCAAGCAACAGTACCCAGTAATATTAATACACCGTTGAAAGCCGAAGCCTTGCAAGCCACCTCATCGAACACCCAGATCAGGAGTACGTCACACATGTACTGCACATATTACGACATGGAACAGATATCGGCTATCAATCGAAGCTTGTCCACGCCTAATGCTGCATCTGCACGCATGTATTCGGAACATTAACAAGCGCAAATTAATACAGAGATATCCTTATTGCATTTAGTGGGTCCATTTACCATTCCCAGTCTTCATTGTTAACTCGTTAGTTGTGCGGCCGAAGCCGGACGGCAAATTCTGCATATTAATGGACGTCTCGGCCGGCAGGTGAAAGTGTTAATGACTACATCAGCAAGGACGACTATACTCTTGCGTTCTGCACTGTGGATGATGCGGTACGCATGCTTATAAAGCTGGGGGTAGGCGCGTTCATGGCAAAGTTTGATCTTCAGCATGCTTTTCGGCTTGTCCCTGTCAGATCTGCTGACTGGCACTTATTGGGCTGTATGTGCAGTGGTTATTACTATTTCGATATTGTACTTCCTTCCGGTTCTCGCTCTTCACCGTTTCTATTCTGTCTAATCTCAGATGCAGTACACTGGATTTTTGTGAATGTCAGCGGCCATATCTTTATGTTGCACTACTGTACGTTGATGATTTCTTTCTTGCAACACCACCTAATAAGCAACTCTGCTCCACGCTTATGATTAAATTTACTGAAAATTGTGCACAGCGCTTGGTGTCCCTCTGGCTGCTAAAAAAACCGAAGGCCCGTCCACCGCTTTGAAATTTCTTGGAATTGTACTTGATTCCGTTCCACAAACACTTAGTTTACCGCATGGAAAACTGAACGAAATCATTGCTATCCTTACCATGTGGAAGTCTAAAACCGCATGCAACCGTACAGAACTGCAAAGCTTAATAGGCTCTCTTATGTTCGCCTCCAAATGCGTGCCGGTTGGTCGGCTGTTTACAAGACGGCTTATTTCGCAATTGTCACTGGTCAATAGTGCAACTCAGAATGAAGTTAGGCTCGACGAAGATTTCCAGCGAGATATTGACTGGTGGCTAGAATTCCTCCCGAAATAGAACGGTTCAGCATAATTTCTTGAACCTGACTGGACTCGCTGTGATGCGATCCAGTTGTACACTGATGCGTCTGCTACCATCGGTTGCGCCGGCTACTTCAGTGGAGCATGGTTTCAGATACGCTGGCCAGCCTTTATACTTAATGCACAGCTGTCAGTCGAGTGCCTAGAGATGATCCCTATTCTTGTCGCTTTAACATTGTGGGGACCACAACTAAGCGGGCGGAAAGTAATTTTCCACTGCGATAATCTCGGCGCCTCGCAAGCTTGGGAAAACCACAAATCTTGTTGCAAAGTTGTCCTCAAAATAATGAGGCGTATGCTGGCCATCGCAGCTCAGCTTAATTTTACAATCACCATTAAGCACATATCTGGTATCAACAATAGCATTGCTGACTCTCTATCCCGGTTTCAAATGAAGCGATTTACCTGCCTAGCGCCGAACGCAGATCTAAATCCGCTGTCTTTGCCGGAGAACGTGTTAATCGATCTTTACAATTATCATCTGCTTCATCTTTAGCTTGTCTTGACAGAACGGCTGAAAGTTTACGGTATCATCATATCGCTCCTTCTTCTAGAAAAACTTATCGAAGCGGCATGAATAAATTTACTGAGTTTTGCCAGTTGTTTCGGTTATCTCCGCTGAACACCACAGAGGACGTAGTAGTACGGTATATTGCATTCCTTTATAGCTGTAGTATTTCTTATTCGTCAGTTAAAGTTTATTTATCCGCGCTTTACAACTCACTCAAAGAAAACGGTTCATCTATTGACTTCAGTACACCGAATACTTCACAATGCCTCACCGGTTTTAAGCGTTTGCGAGGCACTGCTGCTGACAGCAGATTGCCGATTACCATCGATCACATGCGCATCATCAGACTTAATATTGATCGGTCAGCGATTTTATCATCCTTCGAAAAACGATTATACTGGTGCATGTATGCCTTGTGTTTTTCGGATTTTTACGCATTGGTGAGGTTGTACCGTCACTTGGTCATTTTCTGCGTTTAGCGGACATATCATATCGGAATTCGAAGCTCATTATTAACCATCGTTCATCTAAATCTGACCAGTTTTGGGACGGATGTCGGATTTATTTGTCGGCAACTGATCGATCAGTCTGTCCTGTAGGGGCGATGCGAAAATACTTAGCACTGCGGAGAAGTCTAAGAATTTTGCACACAGCCCTGTTTGTTACCTCAGACGGTTCACCTGTTACGATCTGCTTTCGCTCGCATGTTAACTTTAGCAATGCACGGAATTCCCAACAGTCACCTTTATACTCCTTACAGTTTCAGAATAGGAGCTGCCTCTTGCGCTGCAGCCAATGGCGCGCCATTCCAAGATACTAAGCATGCCGGGCGCTGGAGATCTGATGCCTATACGACATACATCAGGAAGGACGTGCCATTGGCCGGTATACCGCTATGCCCACAAGCTTAATTTGGGGCCGTTGTTTGGGGAGGTTCGGCTTGCAAGGGATCGGTCTGATAGCCGGCACCTGCACACCCGATCGTGGGCATTCGGGGCTGCTGTACAGAAAGGTTGAGCGCACGGGATGTGCCTCAATCACCGCTTCCCGCACAACCGGCATCTCAAAATACCGGTCTTCCAGCGTTCACTGAAATTCAAAGAACATCGCTTACAGTTAATTAACCCGTTCCACACTATGCGTGTTAGACCGACATGGTGGAGGACTTCTTCTCTCTTATTCGTAACTATGGTCATAGGTTGGTTTTAATGGTTTTGTTTCAAAGAACAGATGATAGACTACAGTTTGCGATGTATAACCGTTAACTCCCTCATGTCCGTAAGTTCCAGGGAGTGGCCAAACATGGTCAAAACTGACCAAACGGAGTTCTCTGAGGTCCTGCTTCCCTTTACAGCCAACTCCACATCAGATAATTCCCAGAAAAATTATGAAAGAAGTAACTGCTAAGCTCTATACAAAATTGAAGCATAGTTCAGAGAAAAAACGTTCAGTGGTCTGTGCTGGTCAATTGAAAATACCATGTCGGTTTTGACACGGTTGGACACGGTACTAAATAATTATTATTCTTCAGAAATTCATATCAATTGACAGAAGCATCGTACACGGTACAATAAACAATCAAAAGAAAGCCCATAAATTGTTGTATTAACTGACTGGACCATAATGGTCAGCGAAGTGACCACTGGTCAGCACAGACCGGAAACCCGAAAAATGCAATTTTTGACTAAACGCCATTAAAATAAATGTAAAAAAAATGCAAAACAGTTTTGTAATGACTGCCCTCGCTATCTTCGAAATGGCTATGACCCGTACTATCTACAATATAACCTCATAAACGACTGAACGTCGGATCGGAACAGTTGCGTGAACGGCTGTTTCGGCTATATTGGCTGTACTGTGCGTTTGCTTGTGTGCGGAGTGCTATTATTGGCAACATGCCTCGTCCTTCGAGCTGGCTACTCCATTGTTCATCGAACAATTCGTATTTTCTTTGCAAATTTTATCTTAACTAAACTGTAGCAATGAGTGAGAAGTCCTGTAAAAGTTATTTATCTCGCGCTAATACTCGGATAGTGACGCTTGTGCCCTTGCATCAAGCACACATTTTGACCTTCCGGTCCATGAGCGCCCATATTACGGCATGCCTTGTAACTTGTAGAAATCAATGTGTGCGACGCTGAGAATATAACGCAGATTTGAAGTGGCTTAGAAGTCTTGTCTTCTTTTCTCAATACCGAAATTTGTTGTTTTGTACATGTGCTGACGCAAGTATATATAACAGGCTTGGCAGAACTTTACTGACCTTGATGTGCTAAATTCCCGTATTTCTCAACAACTGGTCACTTGTAGAACAATTTGAAGAATTGACCACCGGTATATTAACGATGGTGATCATTTTCCGGAACCAGCCCGGCTCTTTATCTCTGCTGTCCGGTTCAGTTGTATAGCCGGATATAGCATTGCTTCCACTGCACATGTTACTCAAACTATGATCCACATTAGGGTTGATGACCAGTTGTTCCAAACATAAGCAGAAGTGACCAACTGTTGCGAAATATCCAACTACCACTTATGTAATGGTGCATTTTAATGATTTTTTGTTTTAAATTTTTCTTGACCACTGGTCATCCCAATAACCATCACAATGCACTTGTCGTAAAGTACGCATTGAGATCTTTCGTTTGAGCTATTGACATATTCTATGCGATTTTTTTATCAGTTGTTATAAACGGCAATGGATAACATGTCGGCGCAACATGGTTACCATGCGTGTTAGGCCGACATGGTCATCTCCTGCTTGACCTATGGTCGCTAAAATTTCAAAAAAATTTTTTTTTCTTAATTGAATTTTTCTGTCCCAGACTGCCAATTTTCAAAACTGTAGTGCCATCCCTTCTGGTACCCGGTTTTCCTGGGTTAAAGGTTATTATCATTATTGACTGCAAATATTTTTGTATATAGGTAAATAAGGCACATCCTGTGCCACTCAACAAAAACGGACACTGTAATTTACGGTCTTCTGCGTATTTCTCACCTGTGCTGCATATATTTACGATGTACATATAGGGGGAAATCGATTGCATACTATACACCTTCCCTGTACTGCTCCAGTCATCCGTATGGACTGCCACGTTATGGCTTAACAGAAGTTTTTAAAGCGCTGCATTTATACTTGTACCTGCACATTGATGCAGGTACAAGTACCGTGTAAGACGTTAGTGATAAACTGGTAATCAACAAAGTGCTGCGTAGAATTTGCTTTTTGTTGTGTGTTGCGCAGGCAGAATCGTTTGAGTGTGCACAAATCTGGTTCAAAACGGCACATTTACCACTTGAAATGATTCCCGTAATTTATTCTTCATTTTGCAACCGAAGTTGCGCAGAAGAAGCCACTTTTTCGCCCGAAAATTGAAAATCAAAAGGATGGAAGATTTCGAAAGCTCTCAAAATGTGAGCCAAATGCCGCCAAATCACGCTGCCGCACCGGGCGGAGTCTCCTGCTTCACGCGCCGGAAGTTCACAAAATTCGTTTTCTATAACGTTTAGCTATGAAATCTTTGTGAAATCTCCATTTAAAAAACAGAAAAGAGATTTTTAAGGAATACAGGGCAGTCTGAAGGTAATCACTCATACGCATTTCGAGATACGCTTGCTAAAACGACTTGTACCAATCAATGTGCAGGTATAAATGTAGCGCTTTTAAAAACCCCTGTTTACCCATGACGTGACAATCCATACGCATGACTGGAGCAGTACAGGGAAGATGTATAATATGCAATCGATTTCCCCCTATATTATTACGTTTACGTATTACATATTCACGAAGTACATGTTCACGATTCTCCATTACATACTACGCTCTTACGTATTAGTGGGTATGAGTCCGTATGACCAATGTGTATATGGGTAAGATGTACGCCGAAATGCGGTTTTTAGCTTACCCTTATATCTGTACATACAAGAAACAGCCTCGGCTTCGCCTCCACGTTTCTTGTCATCAACGGCCACTTTGTTTAGTTTTTAGTGAATATATATTAGAATAACATTTATATTTCGACGAAACATAATCGGTACATCGTATTAGCGCAAAAAAAACGGATCTTATATAAAAACACGGATTTTATTTTAATATCATTTTTTTAATCAGTTCATGATTCTCTCAAATCACCATTAATTTTCACAACTGAATCCAGGAATCTGTGAATCTCAACCTGATGAATCTGAGTAGTGGAAGCTCTGTCACTCGTTCGTTTGACGGGGTCTGTGCATTGGACAGTAGTGCAAGCTTGGTCCCCCGTTCACCTAGCGGTCTCCGTAAACTGGCAAGTACCGGCAGTTGGGTCACTCCTTCACCTGACAGAACCCATGCACTGGACAGTACCGGTAGCTTAGTCACCAGCTAGCTCGTTTGCCTAACGGGCTATTTGCGCTGGACAGTGCAGGTAGCTCGGTCATCCGGTCACCTATCGGGTCCCGTTCACCGAACAATACCGGTAGCTTGGTCACTCATTCGCCTCACCGGCTCTGTGCACTGGACAGTACCGGTAGCTCAGTCACCCGTTCACCTAAAGGGTCTCGTACACCGGACAGTACCGGTAGCTTGATCACCCGCTCACCTATCCGGTCCCGTAGACTGGGCAATACCGGTAGCTTGGTCATTCGTTCACCTAACGGGTCCCGTATTCTTTTCAGCAAAATCAACAGCAAAGTGTTGCTGGAACACTGCGATAATCATATACTGTGCTTCACCCATCGTCTGATTTTAAATTATATACATCTGCGGAATCGTGAACATGTACATCTGATGACCCGTCAACCGTCATACGATATGCGGCTGTTTCAGTATCTCCGTTTCGATGGCAAAATTAACCTCCTGCGAAATTGACATTTTTTTTCGTAATTTGGCATATTCTGACCCAAATCTCATTTTGGATATATGAGGTATCAGGCCTTTAAGGTTATCATTATTGGAGTAAATTCCAAATGTCCGAAAAACGTGTTTTTATGCCGAAAGCGGCAATTAAAAATTCTTGAGTAATTCCCACTCGTTACTACGAAACAGACTAGAACAGTTTATCAGCCCCAAAAGCTGCGCTCGTTTGCCTGCCCGCAAATGCCCAGTGTGGTGCATTTCCTGCTTTTTTGGTGCACTGCTTTTTTTGTCATAAAGCCAAAATGGTCAAATTAGTGACGGATATTGAAAAACATGCAGTAATTTCCAGGTTCCGAGCAGTATTTCTTTCAAGTGTGTTTATCTTCTTATTAAGCTGTGTATTAAGCTTACACAGTGTATTAACCCAGGAAAACCGGGTACCAGAAGGGATGGCACTACAGTTTTGAAAATTGGCAGTCTGGGACAGAAAAATTCAATTAAGAAAAAAAAATTTTTTTGAAATTTTAGCGACCATAGGTCAAGCAGGAGATGACCATGTCGGCCTAACACGCATGGTAACCATGTTGCGCCGACATGTTATCCATTGCCGTTTATAACAACTGATAAAAAAATCGCATAGAATATGTCAATAGCTCAAACGAAAGATCTCAATGAGTACTTTACGACAAGTGCATTGTGATGGTTATTGGGATGACCAGTGGTCAAGAAAAATTTAAAAACAAAAAATCATTAAAATGCACCATTACATAAGTGGTAGTTGGATATTTCGCAACAGTTGGTCACTTCTGCTTATGTTTGGAACAACTGGTCATCAACCCTAATGTGGATCATAGTTTGAGTAACATGTGCAGTGGAAGCAATGCTATATCCGGCTATACAACTGAACCGGACAGCAGAGATAAAGAGCCGGGCTGGTTCCGGAAAATGATCACCATCGTTAATATACCGGTGGTCAATTCTTCAAATTGTTCTACAAGTGACCAGTTGTTGAGAAATACGGGAATTTAGCACATCAAGGTCAGTAAAGTTCTGCCAAGCCTGTTATATATACTTGCGTCAGCACATGTACAAAACAACAAATTTCGGTATTGAGAAAAGAAGACAAGACTTCTAAGCCACTTCAAATCTGCGTTATATTCTCAGCGTCGCACACATTGATTTCTACAAGTTACAAGGCATGCCGTAATATGGGCGCTCATGGACCGGAAGGTCAAAATGTGTGCTTGATGCAAGGGCACAAGCGTCACTATCCGAGTATTAGCGCGAGATAAATAACTTTTACAGGACTTCTCACTCATTGCTACAGTTTAGTTAAGATAAAATTTGCAAAGAAAATACGAATTGTTCGATGAACAATGGAGTAGCCAGCTCGAAGGACGAGGCATGTTGCCAATAATAGCACTCCGCACACAAGCAAACGCACAGTACAGCCAATATAGCCGAAACAGCCGTTCACGCAACTGTTCCGATCCGACGTTCAGTCGTTTATGAGGTTATATTGTAGATAGTACGGGTCATAGCCATTTCGAAGATAGCGAGGGCAGTCATTACAAAACTGTTTTGCATTTTTTTACATTTATTTTAATGGCGTTTAGTCAAAATTGCATTTTTCGGGTTTCCGGTCTGTGCTGACCAGTGGTCACTTCGCTGACCATTATGGTCCAGTCAGTTAATACAACAATTTATGGGCTTTCTTTTGATTGTTTATTGTACCGTGTACGATGCTTCTGTCAATTGATATGAATTTCTGAAGAATAATAATTATTTAGTACCGTGTCCAACCGTGTCAAAACCGACATGGTATTTTCAATTGACCAGCACAGACCACTGAACGTTTTTTCTCTGAACTATGCTTCAATTTTGTATAGAGCTTAGCAGTTACTTCTTTCATAATTTTTCTGGGAATTATCTGATGTGGAGTTGGCTGTAAAGGGAAGCAGGACCTCAGAGAACTCCGTTTGGTCAGTTTTGACCATGTTTGGCCACTCCCTGGAACTTACGGACATGAGGGAGTTAACGGTTATACATCGCAAACTGTAGTCTATCATCTGTTCTTTGAAACAAAACCATTAAAACCAACCTATGACCATAGTTACGAATAAGAGAGAAGAAGTCCTCCACCATGTCGGTCTAACACGCATAGTGTGGAACGGGGCTTGCTTGATGAATGATAAAATTTTATATAACTAAAACAGTAAAGAAAGGGTAAAGTACAAAATTGCCGGCTTGTTCTCACTATTTTTGGTGGAGAAAATACGCGCAGTTTAAGTTTGCTGCACGAGCACCGTTTAATTACTTTATCTTTTTCATTACATCGTGCAAACGCTGTTCATCCAATTTCAGCAGTGTAAGGCGGCAAATAATGCGGCTTCACTGTTAATGGGTGTTCCCAGACATACTGTATACAATCATTCTGCTACAATCAATGCTGACTCCAGAGTTTCAGATATCCCAAAATGCTCATACAGATACTTGGATTATTGTCAGTATTGCAACGTGTTCTAGGTGTGCACTCGCTCAGATGTTTTTTTCAGCTATAAAAGAGTTCAAGCATTCAGAATTATAAGCCATTTATAAATTTTCATTAATAACACGAATGTGACACAACTCTGCTACATACACAGGTTCCGCCACTGACCTGGAAAAGGATTGCAGCAATGCGACCCACGACTTGCACACTAGAAATGCCACAATGCCAAAAGGCACGTTTTCCTTGCCTTTCCGAACAGATTTGATGACAAAGGAGGAATGTATTACCTTTGCGACCATCGGTGAAGGACGTATCTGCTCGCTGGTGTCGGACATCGACAGCTGCAACTTTACCACACAAGATTTCTACTACAAATATCACGCCCTGTCCAGAACCTACTTGGAAGTCGAATGCGAACAAGCGGATCGGTCAGACATAATGCAGTTAACACGCAACATCAGCAGAATTAGTCCGAACCGCGCTGTGACCATTGAGCTGGTGGAGAAAAGCGATCCCAGCGGCCATGTGCATTTCGACGTCATAGAGCCCATTCGGTGGCAAATCGTTGGGCTGACCGTTATTTCTAATACGTCCATGACAACGTTGAAGGTCTACGAAGCTGGTACCTTACCTCGGTTATTGCGCATCGAAGTGGAGTATGGCTACAATCTGGTTGTGAAAAAGAAGGATGTGTCCCGCATGCCGCAAATACGGATGATTTGCTTCAGATTGTCCAACATCAAAACACTGGAACAATACACATTTATGGACTTGCCGCATTTGGAAAGTCTGATGTTGGAGAAAGAGATTAGTCGTGAGTTGGACCTTAAGGAATGGTATGCTGGACGAAACCGCACCTATGACTCGAGGTTCATTACCAGCGGTGGTGTCCATAAAGTGTGGCGACTGCATTGCGGTTGCTCATTTGCCTGGCTACGGAATTTCCTGAAGCAGAAGCCACACAAATGTTTAACTTACCTCTGCTACAAAGCGAACACAGCTCTCCGTGATCAGAGTTTTGGCAGTAATGGAAACAGCGGGAGGCTTTTCGCTTTGAGCGTAGGAAGTGATTTTAGGCTGGTTCTTCTGCACAATCGGCCTGCAAGACTCCTTGACATGTCGGGATAAATGAGACGTTCCATTTCCGGACGTGTGCTTGAGAATGTCTTTGCATCCAGTACAGCAGACATATGGAACGATGTCTCCAGATTCAGTTTCGTAAATCTCCATAAAGTTCTCCCATGCCTTTGAACGCTTTCTAGTCTGCCGTTTTGACAGGCTTCCATCGTTCAAACCACTTGATATATCTCCGCGCTTATAAACTTTTGCAGAAAAAGAACGCAAACGCTTTTTACCAGAATCGTTTGTAGATGTCTCTTCATCGCTAGAAATCTCTATCGGTTCTTCCGACATTGTAAACGATGTGGAGTGTAACAATCAAATAAATGTGGGAATTACTGCACTTTCATTATTAACAAAACTGGGAGATTCTTCGGTTTGCAAACTTCGCATTTACTATGCAACTTGCCACTAATAATAGGTAGCTCGTTACACAGGGCGGGAGCCCGTTAAGAAGGCTACGTGCTGTTCGGCCGCCCATGTTCGGCTACTTATTACATAATACATATTGCATTGTGGTACTGCAATAAAAAATGGTTATTAAATATTTATTTAATTTCGGGTAATTCGGATTCATCACCAAATCCGAATCCGGTCCATTCAAACACGTCTAAACTCCGAAACCACTCCTAATCCGAAATTTAAAAATGAAAACCCGTCCAATCCGCTCCGAAAAACGGAGTGGGTTCGGAGTGGATCGGATTTCCCAATCCGTTGCAGGGCACTACCACACATTATTGCTCACAGAGAAGTGGGCGAAGTGTTCATCGTCGGCAACTATCTGTCACCATATACGCCTTCTTTAACGAGCTGGAACCCACAGATGTTCAGTGTGGATTGCGCACGGGAGCTGACATATAATAATACTCGCGTTGGCATGCAGTTTTCATACAATACATCTTGTTACAATTTGACTTGTAGCTGATAAGAACTCTCCTTTCGAGTGTGCTATGACAAATTACCAAATTATCATAGATTTATTTCATTTTAGAATATGCACTTAAAGTATGTATTTTAGCACTGTGGTGACCGCCGGTACCCGGGGTTCGGACCGTATGTGCTTCGCTTTGCCTTGGCCGCACTAATAGCAGCACCAACTGCCAAAACATCTCCCACCAAATTTGTCATAAAACTGGCCATTAACAAAGTTTCGGAGGCCAAAGGTCAAAGGCTTTGACACTTGCTAATTGTATTAACCTTTTCGCTAAAGCGTTTGCTTGCATCCGTTTGTATTTGTAGTACAAAGTGTGCGCTCTATACTGCGTTCAACCGGAAGTGATTTGACTTTAAGTAACATAACCAGCGCAATGTGGTGCAATGTGTAAATGACTTAAAAATCAAACGGAAGCGCTATAATACGGGGCTTGTAACGCTATTATCCTGAATCCAGATTATGTGGTAGACTTTAGTCAGTGTAAAGAATTTATATTTTACCCGAATTACCCTTGTCAGAATTATAAAATGATTTAATAGTAACTTTTGCATTAAATCTGGATATTACATATCCCCAGTAGTTACAAATATGAAACATTTAGATATGGATTTTTAATTATTTCATAATTCCATATCTAATTGGCTGCCAAATTCTTACCGTGGATACATTTTATGATAGCCTGTGGAGGTTTTGAGGTATCTGGATACACTTTAGAAAACATTTTTTGACTAGGGTTAGCGTCGGGGATAGTACACTGGTTGTCACTTGCAAATTTTACCAAAACCTAGAATTTCATAACTCGGTTGAACGGAATCGGTTGTTCATCCTAAAATCTTCCGAGAAACGCACAAAATTACTATGTTTAGGTCTAGGGTAATTGTCGTGGTTCAGAAAACATAAGGCTAGTATGACAGCTTATAGGAGCTAACGGATGCCGTTCCCGATGGGAGGGATACGTCGGAAGTTTATGCTCGTGCTTTAATCCAGTGCGCAATAAAACAAGAGAACTGAAGAGTTCGGTGCGTGCGTGAGTTGCCGTAAACAAGATGCTTGCAATCATAACTGGTTCAATACCATATGTATTTGTGTGCTACATTCCAGACTTTGCATGACAATACGAAAACGTTACCATAAACTATTGTTACGTTCAGATCTCCACTAGCGGTATGTGCTGCCCCAAGCACTGTAGGTAGCTAAGTCTAACGTAGAAATCCCGACGTGGATTTTGAGACTTTATTTACGAAACAGAATTTAAGTGACTGCTAGATGACTTCCAGTGGACTAAACCCTTTGTGGACCATCTAGCATTGGCAAGCTTGGCGCTTATATAGCCACATTCGGATAAACATCCACATTAAGAAACTACCGCTAGTGGAGATCTGAACGTAACACCATGTCGAGAATGAAGAATGTCCGTATTTTCGCCGTTCATCTTGCCTTAAGATCTCATATTATCATCTGACAACCCGTGTTCATAAGAAAATTTCACGTTTCGTAAATACTCGTACAACTAGAAACTTGCAGGTTAACCTACCGTATCTTCCGTCGTACGTTTGGTCCCCAAGTGTTTGTTAATACACCACATAGTGTAGACTGTAGCAATAGTCTGAGCCAGCAAACTTTATGCATGTACGAAAACGTTTGAACTTTGATGTATGTGTATTATTAAAGCGTCTGCATGCGTGCTTTAACTGATTTAGTGATATTCTCGAAAATTATGCAGGGGTGCTGTGCTGTGTACAGTACTGAAACGTGGAAATCAATGTTAAAAAATAACGCAAAGTAGCACTTTTCTCAAAATGCTTGTAATTGGATTATTGTCTGTATTAACAGTCGTAACAGGTGAGCATTCGCTATTTTGTTTTTCGACAAATGGTACACCGAAGCATTACTACCGTGCAAGTGGTAATTTTAAGATAACAAGCGAGTACTCCAATTAAATGTGAATATAACCAAACAACAATAATGCACAGGTTCCGGCATGAACCTCGAAAAGGACTGCCATCATCCAACGTTTGACTATGAGAAAACTGGATTGCCAAACACCACTTTTCCCTTTCCTTTCCGCACTGATTTGCTGACAATGGATGAATGCAATGCCCTCGCTGCCATAGATGAACGGCATGGCTGCGGACTGCTGCCAACCATGCAGCCTAACTGCAACATAACTGAACACGATTACAACTACAAAAATCACCCCTTATCCAGGACCATCTTAAGAATCCTGCAGTGTCAACAGAAAAAACGTTCCGATATGCAAGATTTTACGGGAAACATCAGCCGAATCAGCCCTAACCGAGCTGTTACCATCGTGCTGGCGGAGAAAAGCCGTTCGGTAGATTCTGACGTTATTGGACCCATTCGGCTCCAAATCGTAGATCTGACCGTTATTTCCAATAACCATTTCACCACAGGCAAGGTCTACGAAGCCGGCATCCTGCCCCGATTACTGCGTTTTGAAGTGTGCAAAGGCCGCAGGTTGGTTGTCTACAAGCAGGATTTTGCTCGCATGCCGGAAGTACGGATGATCTGTTTTGGCGCGTCGGTCATCGATCACCTGCAGCGATACACGTTTATGGACTTGCCGCACCTACGGAGTTTGATGCTGGAGAAGGACATAACCTTTGAACTGAACGCAAAAGAAATGTTGGCAGAACGTTCCTCAACTGGTACATATAAACCGAAGTTTATGAGCAACCGCGAAGTAATGGAGTTGCGACATCTGCACTGTGACTGCTCGATGACATGGTTCCGGAATTTTCTAAAGCTGAGACAGCTTCTTGCCGAAAGAGAAGTGGGCGAAGTGTTCATCGTGGGCAATTACCTGTCGCCGTATATTCACCCCATGGGGAGCCTGCACTCGCAGATGATGAGTGTAGATTGTGCGCGGGAACTAACTTACAACAATACGCGCGTCGGCATGGATTTCTCGTACAATACATATTGTGACAATATAGGGTGTCATTTCTAGCTTTTTCGGTTCGACGGTGTCACAGTGCGGCGTTCATTAATACAGCATATGAACAATGAAAACGTACTCAGGGAGATACATTTATTTTATCTTTGTAGCAATTAGGTGTAGTAATATTGTTGTGGGAATTCTAAAAACGTTTAACCACTTTCGTACAACTAATGTAGAGAATAAACTTCCCACTTCGAAGTATTTAAGGTTTAATTTTTTCATATGACCAGCGTCTATGCATAGTGATGAGATGGCAGTCTCGGAAATATGTAATGTGCGGAGTAGCTAGTGCGTTGTACGTATTGGATATGAATTAAAAACTAAATGAGGCATATGCAGGTCACCTAATGTTATCAGCCGAATCGTTGTAGTATACAGAATATTTTAGTCGTTCTAGTAGGCTGATATTTTGACCGGAATTCGACATCAAGTTGACCTAGCTACATGTAGGATGGTACGGTTGTCGGAACTGCTGTCAGTAACATGAACCGCATGCTACTTGTAACGTTTGCCCATTAAGAATGTCGAGGCCTGTAACCAGCATGAAGTAAACGGCACTAATGGTAGGAATATCAACTTTAACGTTTCAGGAAGTGCTTAGTGCATCGCCTCTTCACGGGTTGCATGGTACTATATAAATAGGAAAGTCTAACGTAAGGTCAAATTGCGGTGACACATGCTGGTTTGTTATTAGTGAAGCGCTGACAAAAGCTTGCTATATAAAACCGCTTGGTTCTATCAAATTTATGGCATCGTTGCCAATTCGAACACTTCAAAAATTGGCTGTATTAAGCGCTTAAACTTACGCCATCGCCACTGACTAGCGTTTTCCATAAATGAAGTCTTCTTTCAGCTCTTGAGATAATATCAGGCTGCCAAACACCGGTCTTTCCTTTCATTTTATAGCTCGTTTGCTCACAAAAGAAGAATGTGTTGCGTTTGCCATGAGCGCTGCAAAACGTATTTGCAGTCTTGTAAAAAACCTCGAGGACTGCGACATTACCGCACAATTGTTACTTTATATTACTACAAGTATCACACGGTGTCCAGAACATATCAGACAGTCGAGTGTCAAAAGGCAAAACGCTCGGACAGGGTAGAGTTAGCGCGAAACAGTAGCAGAATTCGCCCGAACCGCGGTGTTACCATTCGGGTACTAAAGAAAGGTGACTCAAGCGACCCAGCACACTGGGTCGCTCTGGAACCCAGTGGCAGCAAACTGCTGATATGACCGTTATCTCCAACTCGTGTCACATCGTTCAAGGCTTACGACGCCGGAATCTCGAACAGGCGATGACGTTTCGAAGTGCAGTTTGACAGCTCACATTTGGAAGTTAAGAAGGACTTTTCCCACATGTCCGAAGTACAGCTGATCAGCTTTGATACGTCCACTATCGACACACTGGAACGGTACGGTACAGGTTTATAGACTTGAGGCATTTGGAGAGTCTAATTCTGGATAATGAGATCGGTTTTGGGTTGTTCCAAAAGAAAAAATCAGGACTCTCTGCGAATAGCACCTATTGAGTCTGACTTCATCAGCAGCGCGGATATTCAAAGTGCGACGCCTGCATTGCGACTGCTCCATTGCTCTCGAAATTTTCTGAAGCGGAAACCACACATCATTAGTGAGTATGCGGTATCCGCCGTAAACCGTAAAACGGGCACCGCTTTTAATCAAAAGTACTGAGTTAGATAGAGCGTGTGTCTAACGAATTTCTGTCTGCTCCCTTGATTAAATGCGTTTTACGGCGCCCGGTTGCTTCCCCAGGCGGACATCGCAGACTCACTATTGTCCCGCGAGTAGAGGGCAAGGTGTTCGTCGTGGGCAGTTGCGTGTCGCCTTATGGGCCTTTCCTAAATAGTCATACCCGCCGTATGAAGATCGAGTGTAGATTGTGCACGGGAGCTGAGGTACAGTAATACTGGTGTCGGCATGCATTTCTCGTACAATAAGCAGCACATAATATTGCAACCATGATATTTATAGCCCATAGATCTATCTGTTCGACAACGTCACTGTGTGAAATCCATTCAAAAACAGATATCTAGAGGGTGAAAAATTTATTCTTACTGTAAATACGAACACTTGTAATACTCTGTACAAGCCACAAGGTGATAATATGAATCTGTTCTTCTTTCTCCAATTTTTAGATTTTTCTACCTTTGACATCACCTGCTCATAACAAAACAGACTCAATCCAGTTTTAAACCTTTGTTTACTTTTGCGGATAACAAGGAACTCGTAAACAAGAGCGAAAAAGTAGTACGCAATGTAAAATCAATTATTTCAGTTGCATGTGTATGCGATACAGCTGATAATTTCAGTATAACGCAAATTATTGAGACTGGCAAATCAGCCTTCATCGATGTATAATAATAATTCAAATAAATTCTCATTTATTTCGTCCAAACCAGACAGCACGAAGTAACGGACAACATAAGCCTAATCAAACAGTAAAATCTAATACAACTGCCTCGAGACACTTCGCAAAATTACCTAGTCAAAATTCTGCAATGTGGCATGGTTCATAAATTTCAGCCGGTCTCTTCCGTACTTCTTCTCGAACACATAGACCAGTCGGAAAAACGCCTCCACGATGTGTCCATTATTCATTTCCACGGTCAACTTGGAGCCCAGTTCGTTAAGCAAGTACCCAAATGGACGAATACCGGCATCTTGTCGTTTCCGTAACAGTTGCTGGATGTCATCATGATGGTCACATTGGCGTGTGTGACCGGCAAAAATGTCCCCCCTGTCCCCCCTGACATTTTTGCCGTGTCCCCCCTGCCACCATCGCCAAAATGGTAACCCTTTGGCCAGAATGGTGACATGGAGGACCTACCACGAAAAGCTGATTTTCAGATCAATCGGTGAACTTTGAAAAACTACCACCGGCGTTACCATAGCGTTACCAGTAAAAAAAAAACTGCCAGAAGTTGTTTGCTGAAGGAACATCATCGCCGCAACGAATTTAGTGGAGTACGGCATGGGGGACATTATTGCCGAAACGAATTTAGAGGTGTACGGCATGAGGGACATTATTGCCGGAACGAATTTATAGGTGCCCGGCATGGGGGACATTATTGCAGGAACGAATTTAGAGGTGTCCGGCATGGGAGACATTATTGCGGGAACGAATTTAGAGGTGTCCGGCATGGGGGACATTATTGCCGGAACGAATTACTAGCTGTCCGGCATGGAGAACATTATTGCCGGAACGAATTTAGAGGTGCACGGCATGGGGAACATTATTGTCGGAACGAATTTAGAGGTGTCCGGCATGGGGGACAGTATTGCCGGAACGCTTTTCGTGTGACGTGCCGCGATGGAACTGTTTGATTTTCTCGTACGCTGCCAGATCATACACCAGATCCAAATCTTCTGCCGGCTCCACGCGGCGTACCCCACTCCGTCCTCGACCAAATGAATTCTTTTCCTTCCGCCGTTCGGTGGCTCCAAGAATCTCCAGAAAGTGCTGGCAAAGATGGTGATCATGGGATCCTTTATGCCCACTAATCCCAGAAATGTCAGCGGAAGATCAAGACGCTCATTATTCCCGAATACGATCAGATCCCGCGGTACACCAACGTAAATCATCACAACGCCGAATTTCATCAGATCCTCCGGTGACCAACCGCGCAATCCAATGGAATCCATGCACCCGTTATTATTGATCATTTCCACCGTTCCGTCGGAAGTACTTTGCTTGGGTTTCTCGCCCTTGTTCAGCAACCACAAAACAGTGCTCTTGCCCGTTCCCTTAGGTCCCAAGAGCAATACGGAGTCCGTCTGACGAATCGTTCAAGTTCAGGCTGTTGACGAAATCGAACTTCTTCTCCCGGTCTTTTATGGGTCGCTCGACGAATGCCGCCAGGTATTTCAGCTGCGCTTGAACTTCTTCGTTTATCTTAACCAGCTCCTTAATACGTGCTTCATCCGGACGTCCCGTCATCAAAAACGCGAGCACTGAGACTCCGAGGAATGCCAAGGTCAGTGGATCGACCATGTTGCAAATCGGCTTATGATTAAAGCTTACGTGTACATATAATCGTCATGTTTGATGGAAAATGGAAAACCGAACAAAAAACAGTAAAAAGGGAAATTAATTCGACGCTATCGCACCGGTTCCGAAGTAGCTCATAAAACCACGAGAAAACTGCTTCCACTACTGTAGTGTGCCTCAATGTGGCCGCTTTCACTGTGTGAACCGTGTGCGGTTCGCAGTGATTGGAGCGCTGTCACGTTTGTGAGCTTGTCTTCCGTCTCCGGCCAACCCACATCATGCAAGCCGACCTTTGTCTACCGCAACAAAAGTTGTCGGCATACAGTATGCCGCATACTGTACCTTTGTTTTCTCCCGTAACAATTATGCACTGTGACGTATTTTTATACGTGCACTGTGACGTTTTATACGTAGCTTGCTGTCGGCCAATCAAGATAAAAAAAACTGGAGCAGCTGGATTTAAGCTGTTTTGCGGCATAGTGGCTGACAGCCTTGCCGCAAGTGCTCGAAATTGCATGTGAAAGAATTTCGATACCAATTCCGAGTACTCGGAATTCAAATTCAAGTATTTCCAGTTCCCAGTAATCTAAATATATTTTTTCAGATTGTCAAATACAATATTTGAAATTTAAAATGCCGTAATTTGAATTCCGATTACTCGAAATTCAAAATGTGGCAATATGAATTCCGAATATTCGAAATTTAAACTGCGGTAAAAATAAAATCCGAATATTCGGAATTTAAACGTGACTTTTCTAAATTTCGATTTCTTTGAAATTTAATTAGCACTAACAGAATACACTGGAATCATGAGATTCTTACAGTAGATGTACAAGCACTCTATATGTCTAACTGAGGGCGGTGTAAAACAGCAACCGTTATATGCACCCCTCCCACCCAGGTTTTTTAATTATTTTAGCTACATGAGCACCCCTTACCCTGTTTATTACTTACAGGTACTCATTTTAAAAATACTGTGATATTGCGTTATGTGACCATAGCACTACATCGTCATTGTTATAATTATGGTGACCACTCCGTACACACCCTTTCACACCCTTTTACTCCGTACACAACCTTTTGCGCTACCTTTCATTCCGTGCACAATCTTTTCGGGCACTACCTTTCATTCCGTGCACAACCTTTGACACTACCATTCACTCGGTACACTACCAGGCCACTCTACCTTTCACTCTATGCACTACCAAACTTTTATAATTATATATATATATATATATATATATATATATATATATAATTCATTTTAGATTGGAGCACTTCTGGCAACATTAGTGGCTGTCAAGCGACTGTCCAGTGTCCAGTCTACAGTTTAGATACGTCGCATCCGTGCTCATTGTCACGAAAAACGTTATCCACATTCGGCATCTACTGTTATCGTTTGAATGCTGATCGGTAATCTATGCGCAAGAAGCAGCCAGAAAGCGTTATAGGCAATGGGATTTTCTCACCCACCGCAGCCTGTCTCGTGAAAACTCAGCGTAAACGTGCATTGATTACTCAAATCACCTCTGCTACGAGGCGTGTGTCCCTTGCTTAGATAGAGCACATTTACCTTACCATACTAAGATAACTGTGTTGTCAGTGTCAACCACCAAAGATGGCAACGTCAGGAGAATTTGAAAAATCTGTTAATGAGTTGTTGATAACTTCAATTGCTAACATCGAATGGGAACAAAACTGTTCCAGGAATATCTTAAAAGATGTGGAAAAAATTCACAAGTTTTTTGATACCAAGTAAGTCAGGATTTAGAGCGACTGAAATAAATTAGAGCCATTTCTGTTTCCCATAGACATAGCATAGTAAGTATTACGTTGAAGGGGTCCACGAAGAGATCCTATAGTGTGTCTACGAGAAACTCAAAAAGGCTGCAACTTTTTTCAGTTGCTCTAAATCCTATATTACTTGGTATCAAATATCTTGTGAATTTTTTCTGCATCTTTGAGATATTGCTTGAACAGTTTTGTTCCCACATTCACGAGATGTGAGCAATTGAAGTTATCAACGGCTGAATCAACACATTTTTCAAATTCGCCCTAGCGTTGCCATCTCTGGGTGGTTGACAGCGCTGCACATTGAGTGCACAACACGGACACAGTTATCTAAGTATGGTAAGGTAAATGTGCTCTATCTAAGTAAGGGACACACGCCTCGTATTCAAAGTTATTTTCTGCTCGCCCACGCTGTACAAAGAGTTTTAATCTCGGAAAGATGAAAGGCCGTGTTTACTCACTGGATTAGATAAGGAGAAGCACAAAGTTGGGTAACTGTATTTTTGAGAAAAGTTTAATGATTCAGTACTTAATCGGTGCAGTATAACTGCCATGCAGTATAATTATCAAAATCGAAATAGGAGTACTGTACACCGTATCGTGTTAGCCGTGATAGATGCTGTATGGAGATTAGGTTTATTATAAATTTCAAATTGTACAAATACACAATAGGCTGTATAGCGGTTTCTTCATCGTCGCTTCACCGGAACGGTGTCTACATGACCCTCGTTATAATACAAGTGTAGCATGGCGAGCACGATAAACGCTCATTATGCAGTCTGTGCCAGAGTGGACACATCTAACGCTTACGCAGCGCAAACAAGCGCATTCAGTGTCACTAACAGTTGCGCAACGTAGATCATCTTAACCCAGACCTTCCAAAAAACTGCAGAATTTAAATTAAACGAACTCCTCGACGAAATAAGATTTCAGTCTCTCTAACATAGTCAGGACAGCACAGGGTGTACACTGTACAGTGCCTATCGTTTAGCCAGTGCATGTAAAAAATGCGATTTCATTTTCTGATTTGCATACTATTAGCGGTGCCGTCCTCTCTCCAGGGGGCAGTATTAAACACCGATCCGCGGTTCAACAACTGGCCGAGATTGAGCACCACTGACACGGTTACCCGCATTCCGGTTTACATCGAAACCGGTCGCTACAGTACGCATTCTGCCAACATTTCTACAGAAAATCGTAAATTTAAAAATGTGTTTCCGGTAAACTGAATCATGCTTGATTATTTTCAGCCGGGGCGGAAGTGCGCAATATACGAGAGGGAATATCGTTAATTAATGCCGATCTCAATGGATGTGTCAATTTCTTCGAGTTCACCACACCCGGCACACCACCCGGGGACTTCCTATGGATTACGGCTAATCTGAACAACGGGTAAATGATAAAAATAGTTATCATGTATTTTTTGCAAGCATTCATAACGATACCAATTCACAAATCCGTGTAATCATAAAAACTCACCCTAAATAACAGTAAATTTAATTTCTCTCTTTCAGCAAATTATATGCTCAAAACAAGTTTGCTTCCTCTGCCTTATCTCCCGGGGTTTATATTATAGGGAACCTACAGATGTTTTTGCAATTTAAGAGTTCAAAAAATACTAGGTTTTTATATATGGATTTTGCGATTTATAAATTTCACAAGTTTAGCTGCCTTTTATATTTTTGTTTGGAATGTACAGCGACTTTTTATTTTTATTGCGGTATGGCCAAACGTTTAACATAAGATGTTCCATAATGCACATGTTCCATAATCACATTACAGGACTCGACCGTTTATTTGCATGGCTATCGGCGCCCACGCCGTAGCACAGAACCGGCTAGGACAGAAACTGATCCTGGTATCGGGAGCTCCGGGAGGTTGTGTTGGCAATACACGAGAAGTCGTCAAGTTCCTGGCCAACACCTTAGGTCTTCTCAATGAATTCCAGCGCCTAGACCGACCTATCACCGTTATACCGGCCAATGTGGATATCTCACTGCAGGGATTCAATATTTATTCACCCTTCCAATCAACGCTAACGAATGTCATCGCCAGTCCCTTTGACTATTACTCGGTGACCTTATATGCGCCCGCGAAATTCCAGTCGACAACGGGTACCGGGTTGCCGGTGTACACCAACCCGGTGGATGCTCCGACGAATCAGAACTTTTTCATACCGCGACTGAGCCGGTTAGATTGTCTGGCGTTGGTGGCGCGGTATCAGTGTAATGCAGCCGTAACAACGTGTCCCGATCGTAAGTATTTGCAAACATACACTGTACCTCCGAGATAATTCTACACGGATTATTAATTTTAAATTAATTTTCAATACGTTACCGTACGTTTACTGCCTGGATAAAAAATTACTGCCTGTTCACACATTTGTACAGATACTAAGTACAGATACAAAGTACAAATTACCCGTATAATACTCATATTATTCGGTTATGCAGTAAAACGTGTGTAATTATTGCGGAAATACAATATTAATCATATAAATGTTTCTACTTTTGATGTAAATTCGGTAATTATTTTTGGAAATACTGTTGCCTTTTAAGACATTTATTCTGTTTTATTTCGTAGCATATGCGACCGGATAGTCAAAGACTCCAGGAACGTTCCAAAGAAGGCACGAAATCACTGAAATTAATTTCTACCATTGCTCACGGTCAAGCTCCCAAAAACAATCATTGTTCTTTCGAATGTTGTAAAAAACTGTTTTAAACCCTGCATAAATGCGATGGGTCTGACTTGAGTTGCAGTCTTTACCGACAGAAGTATGTATATAGATATACATAAGTTGGTTGTACATTTGTTTGTTATGAGCGTAATATTGCGGTTGCAAATTCACGGAGTTGTATCAATCAGTAATTTTTAATTTTAAACTAAAGTCAAACTGGGAATGCTACAATGGTACTCAGGTCAATAAACAGCTCAACTTCCTAGATGTTTAGAGTTTAGAGTGAAATTTTACTCTATAATGTACATGCATTCATTCATTCAAGTATCAGGAGCAGACAACCCGTTTAACAGGACTTCAGTGTCTGGTCGGTAAAAAATGCAACAAAAAATTCCAGAAGAGATTATTTAGACAGATTAACAGTTTTCAGAGCGAAAGTGAAAAAGCTAGCACCGCTAACACTGAGTATATGTGAACTACCTTTTTGAATCCGCTCAAAAAAACGTTCTTTAACCGCATGGCCAGCGTGCTTTCTCCGATTTTCTGTTTCGCTCTGGCTCGGATTCATTTCGGCTTCCGGAGATTGTACTGCGATGACAGATCTTTAAAGTCGATCAGTTCAACCAGGTAGGGCGGAAGTTTGTACACTTCATGGTTGTAGATCGTATACAACCAAACGGCTTCCGACTGCTTCCAACGGTCAAATACGGCATAAAATATGATATTAGCCGTACAGCGGAAAACACTGCACGTCAAATCAGTGATACAAATTAATTGTGCGAAAAATCCGGTACAATGTAATGAAAAGCCCAGGATATGACGAGCAAGCGAAATATGTTGAAATCAGATTGCCGTTCACCGATCAAAACCGGTATCTGTACAAGTTATGTAATACGTGGCAGTACTGCACTTCCTCTTCGTTCGGCAGCTACAGAAACGTGATATCACGTAAGCAAACAGCTGTTCATTACTTCTTTTTATTCGTCTGCAGTTTGTTATACACCTTGCACATTGCTGATCTGTTCCGCAAATTTGCTGTAAATAGATCATTTCTGCATCCATATTAACCAAAATATGTCCAGCATGTACATGCGCATTGTGGTGTCGGTATTGACATTGGCGATTATCATTACCACGGTACATTCCAAATGCAGTAATCCCGACTGTCCAGCACCCAAACCCAAGCCAGCCACTATCAGCGTAACCTGCAGTAAGGACTACATCATGACATCGGTTGGCGCGGCCAAATATCCTGTATGCAAGGACAACAAGGGGTGCTCGGATGGAAAGATTTGCTGTAAATTGTATACGGACAACAGCTGCGGAAAGGTCTGTGTGACACCGGACTGCTGAGCCTAATGCAGTTATATTCCCATGAAAACATAAAAATTTCTACGCCGAAGACAATGAACAACTGTCGCCAGCATAACGATATGCAACAACATTTCACAATGAAAGAGAACTCGGGGAGCAGAATTTTAAAAAATTATTTCTTATTACCTACTAGATATAAAGACCTTACTTTAAGTTTATTGGTGGTGCACAGTAAGAAGTAATAACACTTGCAATGCGGTCTACCTGTATCTCTGATGTTCCTGCATATAATAATGATTTTTTATTAATCTGTGGATTGTGAAATCAAAAGTTGAGTATAATTAATTGGTTTGCAAAAATCGAAATGCTGTATTACGTAAATTCGCTTCATTATACTTGACCGCGACCGCTGTGCAACAGTTCAGCGGTACGTACGTACGTATTAAACTACGGTATTAAAGAACCGTATTCAGTTTTGAGAAGTAGGTATGTATAGAAGTATTGAGAACCGTTCTTAACGCCTAACGGCATGTTTGCCGTTTAACAAAAGTGAATTAAACCTTCTTGAACAAAGATAACATAACGAGCTATAAGAAAAACTCTCCGGTCATTTCTTCCATGTCCGGCAAAGTGCCCATAACACCGAGAACATTACCTCTTAGAATCTGAATGGATAGCGCGACCGGAAGTCAGTATTCTGAATGCTGCAAACAAGTTCCTTCTAACAAGCATGCGAGGGGTGGTGGGTGGCCGTCACCGGTCGGCAGCAAGTATAAATATCCAACCATTTTCCTCGTGGCATGATGGAGTTTACGAAGATTACACGAAGCGTCTTAGCTAGCAAGCACATGTGTAACCGGATTTGTAGCTACATTTCGGCGTATATTACAGACAGATAACTTGCTGCCTTACTTGAAATATTGAAGTGGCTAGGTAACTTGTAGTCTACTGTAAAATAAAATTTAAAGCTTTCCTTGATTGTATCTTTCCTTGCCAAAAGAGGGGGAGATTGTCAATAGGCTTACAGGAGCAAAACGTGCGCAACAAATGTACCGGTATCAATTTCTGCTTGTCTGCAGTTTACTGCTAGTACATGGGAGGCCGGGGAACCTTGCCGCAATACACCGTGGAGAGTGTCCAGCGTTAACCGCGCGTCCTACACCACCGATGCTGCCTAGCATCACCCGTGGACCTGGTCCCGTCATCTGCGGGACCGCCTTTTCCATTATCGACGGCAGTTTTATTCCCGCTTGTGGCAGTGACACAAGCTGTCCATCCGATCAGAAATGCTGTAAAGTATGGGAAAATGATACGTGCGGACCAGTTTGTCGCAAAGTTGAATGAGAGGGGACCCTTCCGGATAACCATTAGGTCAACTTGCTCACGATCAAGCTTTCTTTTACCACCACTACCGCTTACGCTGAAGAAGCAGCTGCTAAAGACATATTGTGTGACATTTACCGGTATGTGCAAATAACGCGATGCGATGCGTGGGATGCAACACTTATTTATCGAATGTTTCTTGATTAATATTTGTGCGCACATGAATTTTTGGATGTTAATGCGAAGCTGCCGCTGTTATCCTTAAAGATAGAAGTCAGGAATCATTGTCCATATGTAAAAGCGTTGATCTTGTCTCAGCGTTTAAGTGTAAAAATTCGGCGAGGTAAGGCGCAAATGGTCTAAGCAAGTGTCTTTCCTCACGCGCATTTTTGTGACAGGTTTTTCGTTTGCTATTTGATTTAGCTGTTTTCATGACGTTGCTGATTGTGTACATGATGAATAAAATCCTTTATGGAGGGGAGGCGAAAAATTACTGTAGTGAATATATGAACAGTGAAAAGTGAACCAGAAATTCCCTGTTTACGCAGGCCCTTCACTCAATAAGGGGTCAGTTTAACCAGGAAATTTCTATCGTGCATTTGTGCTCAGAACAAATTTAAAATTCTTTTTCCTTTGCAAGAATCGAATCTTGACCAATTATTGTACTGAAATCATACATACAGGCTACAAAATCTGTATTACATTGTGAGACCATTGACATTCCAACACTGCTATTATTTATTGTGCACAAATTCGATACACTGCAATGACAAACTCTTGCAATATACCAAACTGCAACAAAAATCTGCTGAAACATTGTTGTTTACTGTTTACAGCTCTAAACCGGCACATTTAACATTGCCAGACTCATAACAACGTGGCATTTCCTCTCTGTTGGACTTCAGCAAAAACCGCATTCCGTATAAAATAAAATGCAGTGCACGGCTACCTTCGACTCAGTCTGCGGATAGCCGATTATTTACTGAAACCTATCGAAAATTAAACTGTTCACTCCTCTACCTACCACCGAAATTTTTCAACATGTACTCCCGTTTTATTGAGTTTGTACTGATACTGACCGTCATCATTCAGACGGTACAATCCCTGGGTTGCGTTAACCTGGGCTGTCCCAGCACCATATCCAAGCCATCCGGCATCAGCGTCAAGTGTACCAAGGATTTCATTACAACGGTCGGCTCAGTGAAGACTCCCGTATGCAAGGATGATAAGGCTTGTTCCAAAAATCAGAAATGCTGTAAGTTATATGCAGACTGTGAAAAGGTCTGCCTCAAGCAGGATAACAGCTGCGACGGATAAACGGAGAATGTGTTTCCTCCTTTCCATTTTTATGCCAATGTCGGCGATACTCATCGAAATTTGCGCCAGATATGCTCGCAATTGGAAAGTGTTTGCTGTGCGGAATATCATCCTTGTTGTCTTCTTTAGGCTATTTCTTTTTTCTCATTATTGCTTGTGGTTGGCTTATTGTGTCAAACCAGCGCACAATATTGCGAACAGACACTGCCATGTTGAGTTTTACATTGTAAAACTCAACATGGAAGTGTCTGCTCATAATATTGTGCGTTGGTTTGACACAATAAAGTTGGAAAAAAGGCCTCGTTCTGTGCAGTTGCTATCGTTGTGAATTTCGGAAGGATCTTCACTTATACAAATTTGAAAAAATTGTAGTTTTTGTTCATGGCTGTTCTCACATGTGCTTTTCGCGATTTAATAATAATCAGATTTTTGGTGCATTGCAAGGGTTGGTATTACGGTCGGTACAATACATAGCGGTTATAGACTGAAATTACTTTAGATAACGGTGCGGTATAATACACCGGTAATATGCAGAGCGATGAGAAAAATTCATTTTGGAGAGCGCAAAAGTAAAATTTGTATACCAGCAGCAAATGAATACCGGGTCATTTCCCCAAAAACAAAAATTTTAAACTACATGTACAGAGTACTCTGCCATTTCGTGCCTGTGCATTCCAAAGCCACTGGTAATCAGCAGACGGGCACTACAGTCCACAGATGTCGCCCACCCTTCACCCGTGACGCCGTGAAGCTATTTCCAGTTATTCCGAGACTGCCGTTTCCGTTACGCATGACAGTTTTATTTGGATTTCCTGACAGCAGTACCAACTGTCCACGCAATTTGGAATGCAGTAAAATTATGGAAGAATTATTATGCGCGTTGACCGTTCAGTCGCAAAACCGACTGAAAAACGACACAAAGTCGCAATAAACCGAAAATCAAACAACATCCCGGACCCCGCCCCCCCCCGGACCTATTTATTTAATCGGCAAGGATCTGTTACCTGTCTGTCGAAGAGTATGGTAAAATCTTTCCAGCTACAGTATCGTTGTATGTGCTTGCTGTAAGTACGAGTACTCGTACTGTAGTACTCGTACTGTATTTAACGCGTTATTTTAATGCAAACAAGTTTTTGCCGCTCTTCGCTTACTGCAAACGGATAATATCTGTGCTCTCTGCAAACGGATAATATCTGAA